AGGTTACCTCTGACGGATTCTTTACGACAAACCCTCAAAAGGCATCAGTTATTAACGCATATAAGTTCTAGTCATTTTCATGAATATTTTAATTTTTTTCTGAAAATGTAAGTATAGATGGAATGTATAATTGCGATTATTTGATGTACTTTATTCTAAAATATCATAAATATATTGATCAAATGAAAGCTAAGATCATTTGATGATGGCTTCTTCTTCTCTATCAATTTTATTTCCAGGTCAATATTCTATAGTCTTTAGTCAGTATATCATTCATGAGACTTTTATAATACTTTCCTCAAGGAATATTCAGGAAATACATATGTATGAAATTTTCAGTGAGAGGTATATTAATATGGTATCGCGAAATGACATTTTTTTTTTTTTGCATATGTGAAGAATTTTAATGGTCACGAGTATAATTTTGGAATATTTCTTCTAATGAAATAAGTTTTATTGAAGTTTTTTTTTTCATTTTTGTTGAGCCCTCATTTCGGTAGTCAGGAGAAAAATAGCAAAGTGGACAAAATAAAATTTGACATTAGTCCACTTCTCAGTATTTGAAATGTCAATGAATAAAGTAAACAAAAGACTGCACTAATAAATATGGTATCATAAATGAGACTTATTAAACATTAAAATAAATTCAAAATATTCTCTAAATTCAGAGCTATAGACTATAGAAACTATAGAAAACGTTGTCTGGCCTATGAAAAATGATTGCTTATCATAAAAAAAATTGACGGAATATGAGATTTATATGGATCACGCAAGTGATATATTTTTAAATCAATTCTTGAGATGGTGTGCGATATCTTGATTGCAAGTTGATGTAAAAATCTGATGAAAAAGCATGGTGAAAGGTCAGAGTTATGGAGAAATGAATACTATTGAAAGCAAGATAAGGTGTAATGCTTGGAGAAAATATTTTTTTTCAGATATTTAGTAGAGTCGATGAATGCGTATCCTGCTAAAAAAAAAAAAAACGCAGTTCAATCGAAATAATTCAGTTCCCCGGTAAATATGAATATATGAAACATAAATCAAATTTCACCCTAGAAGAGAATAAGATGCCATAGAGCACGCTTAATAAATTTTTGGTTTGCTTCAGAAATATGATTTTCAATTGTGATATTTCCTGATTAAAATTGCTGAAATTGCCTTGTACGAGAGAGAGAGAGAGAGAGAGAGAGAGAGAGAGAGAGAGAGAGAGAGAGAGAGAGAGAGAATTGAAAAGATAATGAGAAATTTGGTGATGTGCAAAAGAGTTCGGAGAAAGTACCATATATTAATGAAAAGATCGGGGTTTATAAAATTTACGAAATGAAAAGGAAAAAATAAACCTTTACACTGGTTCTTTTTCCTTCCAATGTGATTTACATCCTCTAATTTAGTTCCCTTCAAGAAGAAATCGCAAATTAGCAAGATCCCAGGTGGAAGACTGAAAATTTATTCTGAAGAAAAAGTGATTATTGAACGTTTGTAGGAAATAGCTTATCTAACCATATGGATTCCGGTGACGCTGTAATTAAGATCACCTGTCTTCTAAAGTAAGATTTGCTACCATATCTGTTCCGTTTTCTTTTTTTATTATTATTTCTAGAATCAATTACAGAAATCAAAATTGTGTAATATGACGTAAGACGTTATAACCCTATTATTAGCTCAATGTTTCCTATAAACTAATACATTTTGTCAGTTCTATGTAATATAGTTAAATATGTTACATTAAAACATGTTTCTGTATTATAATAGTAAACTTAGTGTTTAGATTTGTAGCACAAGCTCTTGGTTACGCGCATAACTCTAAGAGGGTAGAGGGAAAAAAATGAAGCTTGGTAGCTACATGTTGAAGATCATACACATTTGTTTAGCTATTTTTAATCATTGTGTGATTTGTGAATATTTCAGATAAAACAATTTATACTTATAGAATATTTATTGATGAATGAATTTTAATTTGATTAATATTGGCTCAATCGACATTTACTAATCCTCATTTTCTTCTAAGATGTCTTTGCCTTCCGTGCCTTTCTAAAAAATAAAAAAAAAAAAATCAAGCATGCGGGTCTTTTTTTTTTTAAAGTATGCAAGTTTATTGCCCAGAGGATATATATGTTTTACTTTAAGATATAATTTATAAGCGAGTTAAAAATAAACCAAAATAGACATTCAAGAACATGGGTACGAAAATTCCTGGGTAATAGGGTAGCATTATTTTTTCAATTGGAATTTGATTCATTTATGCATAAATATATTCTCTTTGTTATAAAATAAGGACGGGTTGAACAAGAAGTTAGCAAGGTTATGTGACTGGCGATATTTCAAATCATTTAAATATGCCACAGACTTAAAAGCTGTTTTCCAGACATTTACAAAGAGCAATATTTATTAATTGAAGACTTTATAAAAGTCTATATTCTATTTATTAAAGAGGCCCATAGGTATATTAATTCCAGCTTAAGACATGCCGATAAATACCTGAATTTCTCCTTGTTCTTGAATGCTTAATTGAGAAAAACTGAAAGTTTTTAATCATTCCACAAAATATGACTAGGGATTTCTTGAGGTGTATTATTCATTGGTCATTGGTAACAAACATTTTAATTGCTGTGGTTGAGGGACATTTCTGTTACCTTACTGATGGACATGAGTTTCATCTGATGACGAAGAAAAGCATTTCTTTGCTGAAATGTAGTATTATCTGTACATCTAACACTGACCGTATAGACTTTAGTATCTGTCAGGACTCCAAGCTTGAAAATTGTACATTGTATCGAATGGACGATAACTCGACCTGTGGAAATGCAGAACAGAAAACTGGGTGCGTACATTACACAAAGGTACTATCATCTTCATTTCAGTTTCATTTTAAATGATCATGAAAATTGAAAATCGCTATTAAGTTAAAAAAGACTTTTTTTATGTACGGCTTTTAATAAAGGTTAATCTACAAATTTATAGAAAATTAGAAGGATCAAAGTTTAACATAATCTGAGATTCTTATCCTTCAAAAATACTTTTAAAAATGGAATAATATTGCGTTTGGTTGATGACTTTGTTTGTTAGATAACTTTTTTAAGTTAAAAAAAGACTGTTTATCATTGAAATTTTAGAATAATACGCACCAATAAGACAATAAAGAATTTTAAACATTAATAACCGAAAGACCACAAAGGAACTTAAATGACTGCATGCGAAACCCGATCACGAGCAGACGAAACTTGCTTAATGACAAGAAGACAACAGTCTAAGAATATCCGTTTTAAGTTCTATTTATATTCATATAATCCTAGTGATCTGGCTAGGCTACTACTTAAATTGTTGTTGAAATATAACAAATAAACAAAAACAATATTGTGCTCAGAATTTTCATTTTTTAGATGAAAATAGATTTACAAAAAAAAAAAAAAAATAATAAAGTGCATGTGCCTGTCAAAAAGCAAAAGCAAACTGATACATTGATCAACGAAATAAACACGTTTCTAATTTGCAACACCTATGATTTGAATATCAGCTGATTTTAAATGGCTTATGAAATCAATTTAAAATGAAATCAGATCTAATGTAAGAATAAGCATATGTTTATTTTTCGTTTTGTTTTATTTTCTTTCCGTTATTTTCTTCATCCACTGAAAATTATTCTCAACCTGATTGACCAAAAAATGTGTTACTACATTTTGTGTTGTTGCATTTTGCCTAACCTCGACGCAAAATGTTACAACGCAAAATGTAATAATCCAAAAATCGTGTTATTATATGTTGTGTTATTACATTTTGCGTTGATATCGACAAAAAATTTAATAACACACAATGCAATAATCCGGTTTATTACATTTTGTGTTGTTATTACATTTCGCGTTGTAACATCGCTCTCATTACATGATGTAAATATTCTTTTTTTTAATTATACCAATGTTTTGTTTTGTTTTTTTTTTTACCTCTAGATAAACAAATATTTCTGAAACAACATTAGTCTGAAAATCTTTTAGAGTATCAGTTTTTTTTTTGTTTGTTTGGTTGGGTTTTTGGGGGGGTTTATTATTATTATTATTTTTTTTTTTATTTTTTTTTTTTTACAAAAATAATTTGTCATCATAATATGGTAACAGAAACTGGTTAGAAAATTTCTTTTTTACCCAGCGTAACATTGTAATAAGGCAAATGCCAATGGAAATAACATCAACGGAGACATCAGGATTTCCGAAAGGAACTTCAACAACAGAAATAGCAGATTACTCTTCAACAACAGAAACAGTAGAATCTACTTCAACAACAAGAAACGCAGAAGAAGCGACATCAACAGCAGATCCTATGTGTACTGCATTTCCAGGATTGTGCCAAGATCCTTGATAGGTGTAAATACAGAACTCTAGAACAACATTTTTCCATTTTCGACAATGAAATACCTTTAATCAAATGACTTAGAATTATACTTTCTATTAACACCTATTCACATGTAAACAGTCTACATGACTACCAAATTTCATTCCAAAATTCCATATACTTCTCTAGATATGCTGAATATGAACTTTGGTAGTAAAGTAGATCGTTTATATGTAAATAGATATGAATAGAAAGCATAATTTTAAATCATTTGATTTATAAGTATTTGATTGGCGAAAGTGGGTGCCATATGGTAGCATTCCATACTTTTTTTATACCCCCCCCCCCCCCGGTTTCTACAGACGAATGTTGAAATCATATATAAGATGGAAAAAGTGAAAAATACAGTGTGTTGATCAGCCTATCGTACAAACTATCTGCACAAACTGCTAAATTCTCTGTGTATTGATTTTGAACGCTTACACAGATCCATTTATTTTTTTTTTATTGATTTAAAGTTATTATCGATCAGGATTGCAATTATCTACCCGTGCTGCTAAATGTATATTGATGTGCAAATGCCTGCATGGTAATAAAAACCGTCGGTGAATAATTTAAATACGGCTAGAGGTTTTCAAATCCAGTTTTTTTTATGGTTTGCATTAGAGCGATTTGTTTACGTAGTATTGAGCTATAAAAAGAAAACACCGTCATATCTTTTACTTCCTGGTTGGAGCTTGTAACGACATAACCGATGTAACAAACGAATTCAAAGGTAAGATACATTTTTGATTTCAACTGTATCTCGTAAATCTTTTATATGTAAATCAAAACTACCCAGCAGACGAATTACACTTATTGACATGAATGTTCGTCTAGGTGTACACAGTTCTCATGCTAAGAATCGTTTTATTTCGATCTTCTTGCAGACGATGTTTCCTTCCTACACGATGATTTTTACTCTAGTTTATGGCGTGACCATGATTGCTTGGGCAGGTAATGGACAAGAATGTTCTGTAACGTTAACACATCTTTCAATATTGAAGATAAATATTATATTCCTTCAAAAAGAAAATTGAAATAAAAAAGCGTTTTTAATGATATACATGTTTTAAAATTAACTACTTCTAGATGATTTATTCTACTTTAAAATCAGATATATAACGTGAAAAAACAAATGAATAGTAAATAAAGAATGCCCTGTTTACGTCTATGCATGGTTTCACATTTCATGATATATGCCAGCAGTTTTAAAGTGCACATCGTTAAGTGTAGAGCTATTTAAAAGGATATATATGTGCACGAAGGAAATATTCAGACGACTACACCCATAATTCTGTGTAAAATAAACCTTGTAACAGGAAACCAAGAAAGAAAGGAACAGTCATTAAAATTCAAGGGTTTTTTTCAATCTTTCAACTCTTTAAAACAAGAAAAGACAACTAAGAATGTAACAGTACAATTTTATATCGAGCGTTCGATTCAGAAGTGCATTTAATCGTGTTTTGTTTCTGGAATTATTTTTTTTACCCGATTGAATAATATAATAACATAATATGATAATGCAAGAAATTAGATACTAGTATATAAAATTCGTTTCACACCACGAAGTGCTATGTTCTCATCTCGGGCAGAGAGCAGAATTGAAAATAAAATTTGAAAATATGTGGGGAAAAAATTTCAATCCTTTGTTTACATATTGCAGTTGATAAACATAATTCAATTTAGACAAATAAAAAATAAGGAAAAACATGCCTACATGGTTTTCTAGATGCATTATCATACAAGAACATGGTATTAAACAGTTTGTCAGTGCATTATTTCTGAAAGCGTGAATGCTATTTTTAAGAGGGGCGGAGTTTGGTACTATGTATTATGATACTTTAATCCTTCTCTGCAGTTCTGAAATATTGAACTAATGAAGATAGTTCCACAAACCAGATTTTTTTAAAAGAAAAAGTAGATTGAAGTGATTCATTAAGTCTGATAATAATACGCTAGCAAAGTGATTCCTATTCAAAGATAGAATCGAGAGAATCACAATTACATGTATTTAGATAACTATTCAATATAATTTAATGTTTTGATTTCAGATGCTGGAAGTTTATGGTTTTGCGACATGGATGATGGTAAGTGAGCACTTATCTAATAGATTAAAAAGAATTTACAAACACTGAAGATTTTCTCCATTATTTCTTACATGTGTGAAAACCCGTTCTGTCATCAATCCGCAAAAGCCGGTAAGCTATAGTTACATTTTCAAGTCACGTATAAAAATGTGATTTTCAATCAATGACACATACAATTAATGACGTACATATCAATAATACAATATTTAACGTACTTAACTCTTCTTTATACGACTGTTTATAAAAGCAATACATGTGTTTGTATGTTAGGGAATCAACAGCTAAATTGTGGAATAAAAATAACATAGCCCGCTTTCACGGGTTCATATATATATATATATATATATATATATATATATATATATATATATATATATATATATATATATATATATATATATATATATTTATGAATTCTTGCCTGTCCACAATCCTTTTAAATAAGAACAAAAGACTCAAGTTCTTTATAAAGAATAAAACTGGTTATTTATTAAGGAGTTCAAAGCATAAAAGCTTCAAAAAATGATACAGTTATAAAAAGTCACAACAAAACATTTCACCCGGATATAGAACATGCAATGTACCTAGTACAAAATACAACTCTTCTTGAACAAATAACAATAAATCAGAACACAATATATAAACAAAAACATTACAAAATTGTCAAATTATGAATTCTGGAAAATGTACGAATAGTGAAAACATTATGCGACAAACTTTATATTAGTTTTCCTTATTTCTTATTATTTGTTCTTAGTTTGTTTTTTTTTTCTAAATTTGTTGTCATAAGTCTTTAAGGATTCCATTTAAACCTGAGTATAGAGCCTGGATGTAAAAAAGAACCCTCTCTCAAGCATATTTTACACATGTGATGGATGAGTGTCATTTTCAGAATTATTTAAAATTTAGATATGAGTGTTAAAGTACCTTTCCATTGTTATGTGTATCTGATGTTAAAAGTAATTAATGTTTTATGTTCTGAATATCTTATAACTTGAGTCAAGCAGGTTGACAAAAAATTTAAGAATAACTTTCTAAGATAATTATTATGCTATAATTAAATTTGGACACAGGTCATCAATCGGTTAATACAACAATTAAGGTTTGAGAAACACTTAGGTATGAACACTTCAGTTTCAGTTACACAAGTCTTAGTGCGACACGATATTCCATTTAGACTCTCGCAGCCTTTTCGACTATTTCGGAAAATGACCCCCATCCATCTCATTTGTAAAAGATGCTTAGACGGATGAGGGTTTCATTCTCACCATCATTTTTCTATGTAACTCTTAAATGTATTTCACTCTGAAATTGTAATTGACTTATGTTGCATCGTGAAATTTTAAACTGTTCATTACAGTTCAAACAATCATAATAAAATACGCATTAGAAGTTTATGCATACATGTACTTTTGACAATATTATTTGTCCAACAACTTTTCCTTGCATTTAACAATTTTTAACCTAATTTTCAAGTGAAAACACGTACGCATAGACTTAAACAAAATATCTAATATTATATGCACGTATGTATGTATACAAATAATGAACGTTTTAAAATTCAGATCCTTGTGATGCAGCCATCATACGGCCGCCATTCGAGCCAGAAATTAGGGCAGAGAACTGCATTTACAACAGCTACCAGTACTGCGATCGGTACATTACACCAGGCTGGCACAGATTTAACGAAGACATGTTGAACCACCCTCCAAGTTTACTAAGCTGTGGAGCCGTATACCCATCCTGGCTAAATGGTAATTCTGTAATGCTAAAATTACCAATCAATTACTTAAAGCATTATCAATGCAACTGTATTAAATTGGTATACTGTAATTGGGAAATAAAATGCAAATAAATGCAATGTAAATTTATGCTATGTAGGAGCTCACAATAAATTTGTGAATTCAAGAAACAATGAAAAGGGTATCTGGCAGAAAGAAATATTTTAAAACTGCACGTTTAATGCACTACTGATTATGTGCTAAATGGAAAAAAGTTAAACTTTACTCTGGCGCGTTTTACACATAATCGAACGCTATAGACTACTATTGAAATTTTTCCTAAACATTCTGCAATTCCGATGGAAAAGAAAAGTTATACATTAACATATACCATAGATCTTGTTATTCGCTTACTAGAAAGAGAAAATAAATTAAGAAAATGCTTTAATTATAACAGAAATACTTATCAGCTACATGTATTAGAAGGATATTGATATCTAATAACTTAAAATAAAAGTCAATCAAACAATCTATGAGTTATAGCCTTTAATTTATTTTTTGATGATTGATATATCAATAGGAAGCCTTCCGACAATGGAAAACGAAGTTGTCCACAGAAAAGTTTGTAAAGTTGGCTTTGAAAGTCCGTGTGTCAAGGAAGTCACCATAAGAATTAAACATTGTGGTTCATTTAACGCCTACTGCCTACCAGCATTAGACGCCTGCTCTGAGAGATATTGTTTCGGTAAAAAAACGTCTTTTAAAAATTTCTTCCTTTTTTATTTGTATCATACCATATACATGTATTTTATATATAACTCTTTTAAAGGAGGTCGACACAAACGAGCTTGGCTACTTTAAGTCGTTTTATGTACATTCCTTTATTTTGAAATTATATTTAACTCTGTTTCGTGTAAATCAATAACTCATTTGTATGAAGTATATCCATCTTTATTCAGTAAACGAATAACTTTTTTTTTTCATTAAAAAAATTTTTTTCCCCGGAAGTTCTATTATGACATTGTTTCTTATCATATGTTAATAAACAAAGAAGATTTCTAACAAGGGTAAGAAGTACGCAATTATTATTTATTTACTAATTTATTTATTTACTAATTAATCAAGGTGAAAGAGACGCTTCTTGTGCAGTGACAACTAGTTCCCCCAAACCTGGCACGACCCCGACTGTATCAAAAACATCGACAAGTCAGCCACCTCAACCCACGAAAGGACCAACAACTAAAGGAACCACTAGAGTGACCACAAAGAATCCATTTTTTGAAAACTTTTGCTCAGCAGGTAACACAAAAAAGAATAAGTTCACATACATATATACGTCTGTGGATTTTCACTATCTTCAATAAACAAGAAGTCCTGTTACATGTAATGAAATATGGAGATAACGAACAGTATTCAAGCTCAATGTCCATTAAAACAATACAAATCGGGAGCAGAGCAAACACGGACCTCCAAAAAACATTAGAGGTCTGATCAGGTGCCATGGAGGAGTGAGCATCCCCTGCCGACCGGTCACACCAGCCGTGTGCTCCTTGCATGATCGGGAAATAACGGAAGAATCCGTCGACAATTTAGTGTGCAAATCATGGCCTAAAAATTAGTATGAAAAACGTCAGTCAGCATATGACTTCATGATAAATTGTATTGCTGACAAGGTCATTGTACCGAACATAGAACTTATGTAAGCCAATGACAAAGTTTACAAGATTTTGAAAAGTTTATTAAACAACCGTGATCGTATAAATTTTTAAATGCTTGTTTCTGAAATTTCACCAGAATAGACCAATACGCTGGTTGTAACAAAAGTTTTAAAGATCCGTCCCAAATATTTAAGAACGTAGAACTAAAACTCCAAAAGTAATAATTAAGGTGAGTTCCAAAAAATTAGAGTTCAAAAAGTATTCCAAAAGAGTCAAAGAAAAGAGTAACAGAATGCCTTTTTCCGCCAAAACAGGGTATTTTGTGCTCAGAGGGTATTCATGGTTCCGGATATAAAAGTGCTTTTCATTGGCTGACTTAGCATTACCATTACACCTACGCTTAGTCCGTAGGTCTGTCCGTTGACCTATGAACCCCAACATGGCACCACCCTCCAATCCAAGTATACCCTCATTAATAATATTTATGGACTCAGTCTCCATCTCTGCACTACAAGAGTTCTAGCCCTAGGCTCTTTTACTTATCTGCTTCAAAGTTCCCAATTATATTACTCTTAATCAAGAATTTTAATAGTAACTTTACATTTCCGTTCAAATTTTATTACTTAGTATCGATGGGCTTGATTGGTCTATTCTGATCAATTCCATTACAAAATTATAGTTCATTGTACCAATAACAAAATCCAATTTGTTCTAACAAGATAATTATAGTTCATGAACATAAAGTCCCTTTTCCAGTTATAAAGTGGTAAATATGTGGTACACTAATAATGTACATCCTTGTTTAATAACCTTTTATTTTATTTCACTGTCACTACTAAGTTCACTATTAATAACTAAAATGATTAGGATATGAATATAGTCCAAGTGTAAAATGTTCAAATAAAATGTCCGTTCTTAACACTATAGGTTTACACTTACGAAATGAATACTTTAAAGGAGACTGTTGATATTCTTGTTTCATCAACTTGTTTGTCAATAACTTACCTCGTTTTAGAAATTGTTCATACGTTGAGCATGCTCTTGCGTATCGAATCAACTGAGAGATATACACCCCATATACAGGTGATAAGGGTACTAGTATATTGCTGCATAAGTAAGGGAAGTTACTATAGGGAAAGAAAGTAACGAAAAGAAAAGGGAAGTAACTAAAGTAACTAAAGGGAGTAACTAAGTAAAAACAAAATTAACAAAACATTTTTAAAGCTCTAATCTAATCATGTTGTTTGAGAACAATCTATCTTGAAGGTATAAAAATAAAAGAACTGTAGATGATTAAGAGTTCATTATCATTTCTAATATAGATCCGTGCATGATGAATGACATACCCAAAATCCCAAACACGAAAGACAGAAGCGAGAATTGCAAGTACACACACTTTATGCAATCATGTGACCGAGATCTGTTTCCGGGTTGGTATAGAGCAGACGATAATGGACAGATGCTCCTGAATAGATGCCCGGGGATTCTATCCTGTGGCGCCATGCGCCCTGTTTGGATGCAGGGTATGTATGACATAGAAAGATAATTGTTCATAAAAGATAGGCAAATGGTTTGATACATTGAGGAAATGAAACTAAACACATACAGTTATCAGAGTGTGGTATGGGCTAATGTGGCTTGGAAATAAACATCATGAAATTGAGTGTATAAGTTAAAGCAAGATGTATGTGCCTTTTCATCAGTTATATAATGATGATCTTATACAGTCTTCACAGAAACCACAATTACACTAATGCATTTCTGCTTGCAAAAAAAAAACTTCAAGAAAGAATTAAAAAATTCAAGAAAAGACATTCAACAATGACAATAGTTATTGCATACTACGGTTCATTAATGTATCGATTTCTTTCAACTACAATTCGAAAATTCCCGAATATGCTGTCATGGTTGCTGTAATGGCTAATATTGCTTGTTACTTATTATTCGAAATCATTTGAAGGTTAGGAAATATTAGGTTCTTATCTAGGGTCTATAAAAGCAGTTAATCAAATTTTAATGATTTCAATGTTTTCATCGTATTTCTTACGTGATACTACAAATAAAAGAATGTGATTGAAATGAAATTTTCTTGAGTTATTTACGAACCGAAATTTATAATAACGATAGGTAAAAAACATCGATGATTAATTAATGCTAGGATAAAATGGACGTAAGAATTCAGCAAAAAGGCAATATCTTGGTTTTTCATTAATATAACGAATATAACGTCACCGTTTAGTGTGCTATTTTTATCTGCTATTTCCCTGTTTACTGCATTTACGTGTTTCACCTTGCTGACAATAAATGTCGTTCGCCGATCGTCAGGTTAAAAGGATGTTGAACGTCAGATAAAAACGCACTTGGGTGATGCTGACATTTGAAAACTATCCGTGACTTTTAATGAAATCATAATTAATTTTTTTTCTTAATAAGCACAATATTCTTTTTTAATCTTTACATTTTAGGCTCACATCCTAGTGTGTATGACGGAATGGTACAAAGAGAAATTTGTACCTCAGGACTTTCAGAAGGGATTCATAGAAACTGCTGCCTTGAGAGGAACAAAATACTTGTGAAAAACTGTGGAAATTATATGGCATACTGCTTGAAACCCTTGAATTTTTGCGAGGAGCGATATTGCTTTGGTATATCTATTCAACCGAAAA